AGAATGGGGCTCAGAATCTCCCTTGCAAAACACCTGCTTGCTGGTCTAATGAAAAAACTGTGGCTTCAGACACCTGGGTCATATTCCACGTGCAAGGATAATAGAAATGCGTGTGCATTGTCTGAAACTGCATATCTGCCACCTTAACGAAATAGACAACGCAAATGACTAAGAGCAGAGTGTTCTAGACCAGCTGCATGAGAGAGGGAAGAATAGGCTAGTGTCAATCTCTTTTCAATCTGAAAACTTGCACTGAATTACAAGGAGCTCGACTCCATCATGTCTAATTGAGAGAGAAAGAGGGCTTGAGCAAGACAGCCGATGACATCTCTAAAGTAAGATTACACTGCGCTGTTGAGATTGGGATTCGAAGTCTGTCATTGGTTTGCACACAAATACTGGCTCTGTACGCAAGCACACACAAACTATTTATCAGCATCCTCTGTGCACGGGTTAATTGATCCCACAGCACTGATAACACAAAGAATGGCAGCATCAGACGTGCTCTGACAAGAAAGCTGAAGGGTCATGAGGAAAAAGATGTAGGGGGAGGAAGAAATGTAGGGGGAACAGGAAGGAAAGACCCAGAAAAACAACTCAGACTGGACTGTTTGGTCAAATTACCCAGACTTGCTCAGTGATTCTACAGACGCAACACATCAGCATGCACATAAAAGGAAGATGCATGGAGTGATTTGTAGGAAGAGAGATGTCTGGAATAATTTACATTTATGAAGATTTATTAAGACACAGGCACATCAGTTATGTATACTTGCACTGTTAAATGCAAATGTAAAATCTAATCATTTAGATTCAAAATGTTGAACAGTGTTCAACATAAAAAAAAATGCTTAGCATTTTAGTCTTTATGTAAAAATTACATAGTATAAACCTGTTGATTGGTTAACAGCAAGTTTCCTTTATACATACGGTTAAAAATACACACGCTTTTTGCAAGTAAAAACTAAGAGTTTGGGGAGTTAATCTACGGAAAATAGTAAAAGGACATTCCCAGAAATCCCTGCCTGACATATCATGCATGATTTCATTTTATTTAAATAGTTTTGTATACGTTTTTGTAATCAGTAGCATACATTAGTGTGTTTTGGTGTTATATTTGTTCTATGAGTTAATGTTTATTGTATTAATTCAGTATCATGTGTTTTACCCGGATGGTGTTTTGGCTTTGTGTGTATTGGAGTTATGAACAGGCCACTTACGATTGTTATTTGCTAAAACACCTGTATCATCAAGGTAGTACTAGCCTAAATACATTTTAAGGTACAAATCTGATTCAGTAGATTGGTATATAAACATTACATATGTTTTAGTGATCTGGCAAAATTAGTTAAAATATTGTATAATGTTGCAAGTATTTTTTGGCTTATACAGGGTTTTATGAAGGTACATTTCATAAATGAGATGAAAAGATGAAAAGGTTGATAAGATGAAAAACAGTAAAAACAGGGAAAATATTATGTCGATATATTCTCTAGGCCTAAATGTACATTTCTAGGGAGCATACAATGAGTTCTATTAGTAACAATTTGAAAATACAACAGATCTTTATCACACTGCAAAAATGTAATGTACCTCTTTGTTTTTTTTGTCATTTTAAAATCAAGATACAGTGAGAAGCAAAATGACAGAAGATAACAAGTCTTGTTTTGTGTGAAACTGATTCAAATAAAGTTGAATTTACAACTAAAACAAGAACAAATCTGCCAGAATCTACTAAATTCAAATGAGGAAGACAAAAAAAAACAAGACTTCAACTGTCTTTATTTTTCATCCCAAGTAAATATATCTTGATTAGTGGTCGACCGATATATCGGCAGATACTTGGCATTTTTCAAATGTTTCAAAAGTTTTCTGTTTAACCGATGAAGAGGAGATCAAAGTATAGCTTTGAGGTTTTAAAGTTGCCTCAGAATGCTGTCGTCAATTGCTCTGCAAGGTTGTGGTTGTTTAAAGATTTTTGTTTTGCAGCGTATATGCCTAGAGATTTGTTCAAATGATAAATTATCACTTTGTGACTGGATTTTGCATCTTAATTTCAATAATGAATGATGTTCAGCTAATTCAAAAGACAATTTTGACTTCATTCTCTTAGGAAATATGATGTGTTCCATATATATATAAGAGCTTGATAGGGGAGGCAAATGCAATATCCAAAGCTAAAGAAGAGGAAAGATAAAAATATATTTAATACACAAGAAAAAAAATCCCCATCTTTTAAATACATGTGGTTACCTGAATGCTCATTACATCCAAAGAGCCACAGGCAAATGTGAGGTCAGCAGACGTTCTTCTCACTCCTGATTAAAACCAGCTGTTTGGCCTCATTGTTTGTGCTAAGCTTTCACAGAGGGCCGCACACCGCACAACATTCACAGACCTGCAAACATCCCCACATGCACAAACAAGCGCCCTTGAACATATGCTAGGAACACGAAGAAAAAAGCGGCTCCAGAGCCGCAGGTCCAGCAAGCAGAAAGTCCCTGATTAACAAACCAACACTAATTAAATCACAGACTGCTAAATCATGCCCGGTCAACTGCTCAAATATGAGCACATTCCACTAAACGCCTCATCTTCCCTGCAGTTTCCTCTAACTGCGCTGCCAGTCTTAAATCCCCAAAATGAGAAAGTGAATGAGATGGGATTACATAGCTAATGCAAGCAGATGAAGGAAAGTAGAGCACAATCTCCAACTCAAAAAGGATTAAATCACCCCAGATTCATGCCAAAAGTCAGCTTGATGTGCAGGGTTCACCTGCAACGCAAAGGACAAAATTACAGGTGAATACAGAAGTATGATATGCTTCTGTAAGAGGGCCCAAGTGAGTACCTTATATACCAAATTCCCTGCTTTTCGCCCTCAAACACACACACACACACACACACACAGAGAGATTTAAATATGCTGAACACTGACTGAATGACCCGTTTAAATGGAGAGGAATTATTTAAAGCCCAAGGTATGAGGGAAGAAAATCGTGATGTGATGAACAAAGTAACCCGCTGAAATTTAAAACTTGAGCTTAATTGTAAAACTGCTGCCAACCTGCAGTGATAAGTGCATGGCACTTTTTCTTGACAACTTTGAATTTAAACACCAATTAAGAAAATCCAGTTACATTCTCACAAAATTGAGTAGAAAATACCAAAATTATAGTCACAAGTCAAAGAGATGTAAAGATGCTGTTGATGTTGAAAACAAAGCATTTGTCATAATTCACAGTAAATCCTACGACAAGGTTTACAGTATACAAATATAAATTAAATTATCATTTTATGTTAAGTTTCTCCATTTGTCACCCAGGTGTGTATGAATATATTTCAGCATCACAGTGTTTCGTTCATGCAGCAGCGCACCCATGGTTTCATCTGCGCCTTGACACGTGTCAATTACACGCCGGCCTTTACCGCCGAGTGATAATTAAACTTTGATTCCTGTGAACTTTGTACATCTGTAATGAGGGAAGCTGCATATGACGTGCTCAGTCTGAGAGAAGAGGAGGAGGATTCGGGTACATGGAGGCGCGCGTAATTTTTTGGGGTGTTCAGGTGAAATCTGCCAGCACGCGCTGGAGACAGTGGCACGCACTGTACAGGTGGGAAAGGGACCGGGGCATATAGTCGTATTGCAGAGATATTTGGATTAGTCACGGCGCACTCACCTCGCTTATCTTGTACTTTTACAGTTATCTCCACTAGCGGCTGCGTCTCTCGGTCGAGCCGTCTTGATATAACCAAATCTCCGCTGTCCCGACTCACGGTGACGGGAGAGTTATCCGCGTCCGGGTGAATCAGCTCAAAACTGGCGGACTGAAACCTCACCGGGTGTAGATTCATTATGACGGAGCCGATACTCGCGTCTTCGGACACGGTGATAAGCACCGGCTCCGGCACGGAGCGGGACTTTCTCGAGAGTCCGTTATCGATCTGAGGAAGGGCTGGCCATTGGCGCGGACTTATCTCTACATCCATATTCTGACTGGTCCGAGCGGGCCAGCCGTGGTCTCGCGCAAACACGCTGAACTTTATGGGCTGCGCGAGACCCAGAATCGAGTCCACGAGGAGGATGTCGCCGGTTTTGGGCACCACATAGAAACTGCCGTTTCTAGGAAGCGCGTAGTATATGAGCTCGGCGTTTTTGCCGCTGTCGATGTCCTCCGCTTTCACCGTGTACACCACCGACCTCAGGGCCGTGGCGTCGTCCAAAGTTATTTTGACGTCTGCGTGTTGGAAAGTGGGCTCGTGGTCGTTCGTGTCGAGCACGTCCACTTTAACTGAAGCAACTTCGGCCACGACGCGCACGGCTGAAGCGCAGCTCTGACAGCACAGCGCCAGACTGAGGAGATACTCAGCGCGCTCCTCTCGATCGAGAACGTTAGAGGTTTTCAGCAATATGTGTCCTCGCTTGTGGTGCGCGAAGACCTGGAAATCTTCACTCCTGTCCCCCAGGAGTTTCAGGTGCATCCCGGACTTGGCGCACCATCGCTGCGGATCGATGCGCTTCACCGGGATACTCAGTCCGTTCACTTTTGAGCCAGGTGGAGAGTTCTCAAACACATGCCCGTGGAAGAAAGGTATTCGTTCGTCGGTCTTATTTCCCAGCACAAAAGTCACACAATATGGCAACAAAATAGTCCAAAACATGATTGTAAGTTTACAGCACTCTTCCTTTTCTCAAGCGACAGTGTTCATGGTGCGTGAATTCGCTCCTCGTTCATTGAACGGTGATCCTCCAGAGTCTGAGCAGCACAACTTTCCCTCCGTCGCCTCGCGATTTCAGCAGCGATCTGCTCGGGCGCGCTTGAGCTCGCGGAGTTTCAGAGAGCAGCACTAGTGTGATGGACAGCGCCACACGCGAGGGGCGGGGCTTTGGACAAGTCAGGGATTCCTCTAGGGCAGTGGTTCCCAATCTTGGTCCTGGAGAACGTCGCCTCGCGATTTCAGCAGCGATCTGCTCGGGCGCGCTTGAGCTCGCGGAGTTTCAGAGAGCAGCACTAGTGTGATGGACAGCGCCACGCGCGAGGGGCGGGGCTTTGGACAAGTCAGGGATTCCTCTAGGGCAGTGGTTCCCAATCTTGGTCCTGGAGAACCCCCCAACACTGCACATTTTAGATGTCTCCCTATGTAAACACACCTGATTCAACTCATCAGCTCATTAGTGAAGACTCCAAGACCTCAAATGTGAGTGTCATATAAGAGAGACACCAAAGACGTGCAGTGTTGGGGGTTCTCGAGGATTGGGAACCACTGCTCTAGGGGACTCTTTCCTATAGGATTGAGTATTTATTTGGCTTAAGCAACTTGTGTGTGTGGGGGGGGGGGTTAGGCTACAAAGTGCACGACGGACGGTTATAGCAGACGATGCTCATGCACAGGAAAGTGAAATAATCCTGGTCAATGACAAATTTATATGTGGCTTTCATAACGTTAATCTGCACTACAGTACTTTAGGACACACTGACCGAATTTATGCTCCTCATATGTATAATGTATGTCAACCTATAAATCACTATTGGGAAGGCACATACAGGTTAATCGCAATAAAAGTTGTTATATTCATATTAGATATAATTTGCATTGTGATATAATGTTAGATGTTTTAGTTTTACTTTATTTCAGACCAAACAAGTTATGTAACTCCCATAGAATATAAATCCTCAGGAATGCAGCAGCATTCCAACACCACTGCTCAAGTGTTGTACTGTAAGTATGGTTTTAGATAGACAGAACAATCTGTTACATTATAGGCTAAGTGACAGGGGGAAAAACTGTACAGAAACTAAAGAAAATTTGTGAGGAACATGCGAGCAAATGTCAAGTCCATTCAAGTCAATTTTAAAAAGCACTACACAAATATTGTTTCAATGCAGCTTTACAGAAATCATGCTTCTGACCCTTCAGTGAATAAACCAAAAGCAAGTGTGCGATAGAAAAAAAAGGTGCAAAAACAAAATGACTTGAAATGAGTTGTTTGCTGACACATATTGTCTTGCATATCATAGTTTAATTTATTCAGTAAATATATGACTAACATTACACATACAGAGGAACTAGATACTGTATAATAGATAATACGGCATATATACTGTACATGTAATAAATAATGCTATCTCCATCTTTTTTTTTTCTTTTCCTATCGCACACTTGCTTTTTGGTTTATTCTAAATGGTTAAAAGCATGATTTCTGTAAAGCTGCATTGAAACAATATTTTTTAAAATTGAATTGAAAGAACTTGACATGTCTTCACATTCTGTACTCTGAACATGATACTGCATGAATTAGTTGGAAAACTATTTTTAAATGCCGTCTTGTTCAAATAATAGCCTTGAAATGTTAGTGCCGGCTGATGCTTTATGCATTTGATTTTAAAAAGACTAAACATGCTGTTGGTTTTAAAATACATATTTACACGCAGCCGTTTTGGCTTTGGTACTATTGCTAGAATTCTAAAATGTGAAAACTAGTAAGGTAAAATAATAAGGCTCAATTTGACACCTAATCGATTAACTTATGTTAGCATACAGTATAGAACCTTACTAGACCAACAGTAATGATAAAGAATGGGTGTTAAAGGAACAGTTCACCCAAAAATGAAAATTTGCTAAAAATTTACTTACCCTTAGGTCATCCAAGATGTAGATGTGTTTGTTTCTTCATCAGAACGGATATGGAGAAATTTAGCATTACATCACCTCCTCACCAATGAATTCTTTGAAGTGAATGGGTGCCGTCAGAATGTGAGTCCAAATAGCAGATAAAACAACCACAATAACCTACAAACAGCTTCTGGCCAAAATATGAGTACCCTGATGTCTTCTAACTTCAAAATACATATTTTTGTTTAGATGTATATTTAAACAATATTTGTTTAGAACCGTTTTGGACTGATTTGCCTGAACTATATATATTTCCCTCCTGATTCAGATGAGACAACTTTTTCAATGAAGAAATATGGATAGAAGACTCATATTTTAGCCAGAAGCAATAGTTTGAAGTTAAAAATGTCTTAGATATAGATTTGTTTATTATACAAATGCAGCTTTTCAAGATGATAATTGATGGACTGGAGTTGTGTGGATTATTTGTGAATTACTGTGATGTTTTTAATCAGCTGTTTGGATTCTCATTCCGATGGCACCCATTCAGAAAAAACTCATCTTGGATGCCTGAGGCGGGTGAGTAGATTTCCAGCAAATTTTAATTTTTGGGTCAATTATTCTTTTAAGATTGAATAAAGGTCAGTCGACCAAGATGTAACTTTATATTTCTGACGGAGGTAATTAATTCTAAAGAAACAAACAGCCCTATGGGAAGTAGTGACCCAATGCAATGACGTTGGTCTCAAACGATATGCCTCACCGGCCCCTCCAGAAACTACAACAACAAGTTGCGGAGGAGCTGTTAATTGCCTTGTGCAGCGTCCTTTTTAATACACATTGATTTTTTTCTTCCCTCCCTGCTGCGTTAGGCTAGAGGCGATCTGTCTGCGGTGGTCTGCATTCAAATTTCAATTAGAGATTTATCTCCTCAATTGCTCTGTAATAATATTAACCTGGCCCGACACTAAAGAAGGTGGCTGTTATGAACGACACAAGCCCACAACACGCTTCTCATCAACGACAGACACATGTCCCTCGTGGTGGCTCTAGATAAGCAAAGAAAAACAACCAGTGGGATCAATGCAAAAACATTCGATTTAGAGTTGGAAACATGCCATTTAGACTTCACAGCAAACACAATTTACCAATAGACAGAGCTGTAAATTGCATTAGTGCAAATATGGCATTCAGCAGTGTAGTGTTGGGTCACCTGACATGCATATCTGCATTTTAATAAACGATTGATGCTCTGAGAAATGACCGGGGAGAAAACCCTAATTTGATGTGGGCTGGATATATAGAAGGAACATTAATACTTTAATAACTTAATTTATTTTAATGGGCTAATTAGCTAGTCGCATCCCACTTCATTAAGAGGTTTCACTCTTGACTGAAGTTCGACTTGATTGAGGAAGTTGCTTCACAAAAGATTTTTTACTTAAGCATACCGTTTTGAATATGCTCTGAATATGTCTATACACTACACTGATGTTGATAAATCACCGTGTGACGGGAATGAAGTTTAATGGCAGGAAAGCAATATGGTCTGCAATGCAGAGATGTCACCAAAGAGAGAGTGAATGCTTGAAATTGAGAACAGCGAGAGATGTGTCTCTCCAAAGCTGTATGGAGGAGTATAAAAGAGAGAGACGGACATGCAGAAAGAGATACTGAGAAAGAAAAGTGCTGAAATTTCTTCACAAGTTTTCTTTCTACCTCTCCATCACTGTCACTCACACACAGTCTCTCACACAACACACATGCATAAACTGAAAACACAGAAAAATGTGCTAAAAGAAAAAAGTTTTTGTTTTGTAGCGCTTTTTCCCAGTAATTATCTGCACGGGCTGACTTTTTGGAAACCTTGCCAAAGCTCAGTGAACTGGGAGGGTCAGCACATCTTTTGCGATATACAGATGTGAGAAACTATATGGTATTTTAATGGTAATGGTTAAGCCTGACAGGTCCACATACTCTGAAGCCTCCAGCGTTCTTCAAGCTGGTTCACTGAACTCCATTATAAGTGGATCAGTGGAAAGTCTAACGGTCAAGCAAGGGCAAATGCAACCACTTCTGTTTTCTGTGAGTGCACATGTACTTTTTTACTTTCTCTTTATCTTTTAAACTAAAAAAAATATATTTAAAAAGTTTGTCCTCTGAAAAACCAAATGTGCATAGCAGCGGAACATGTTTTGAAATAGTTTTTAATAGTCAAGGGAGTGAGTGGAGCACAAGACCCATGAACATATGGGACATAATTTGTGGGCATCATAATGAAATTTCAATATGGCACGCTAACCAAAATGCTGGGAAACACGGAGCGGAGAACGAGCCAAATTAAACATTCTTGGCTCTGAAAATAAAAAAATCTTCGCAATTTAACGTCACAAAGGCCTTATGATGACCCTCACCAAATTTGAAGATGATCCGATTAAAACTGTAGGAGGAGTTCGTCAAAGTACGAGGCCTGGAAATGTCAAAAACTGCACAAAAATTGTACAGTAAATTCAAAATAACGTACATCCTGTTGGGTTTTGGGTTTTGTACCAAGATACTTTTTTGTAGGTAATGGTGTGTTACGCATGTGTACCGATTTTCGTACATGTACGTGAAACGTAGCTCGAGGGGCACTTCGTTGAAATATTATAGGTGGCGCTATCGAGCCATTTTGCCACGCCCAATTCTGAAACCCATATCAGATGTAAATTTTCGCCAGTTCTGATGTGTGTACAAAGTTTCATGAGTTTTGGAGCATGTTTAGGCCCTCAAAAATGCGATTCACTTTGGAGAAGAAGAAGAAGAAGCGGAAGAATAATAAGAAACGGAGCAATTCCAATAGGGTCCTCACACCATCGGTGCTCGGGCCCTAACAAGAGACCCATGATTAAAGAGGAGCGGGCAGAGGTAGGATCAGAGGGCGAGGGACATCAAATTCCCCTGTGTTTTATGTGAGGACAGTGCCCATGTTTTGGCTGCTTCATTTCTTGGCCAATAAGCAAAGTGTCTAAATCTTATCCACTCTCTTCCCCATTCCTTTCTGCTGAACTAAAGATAAGTGGTGCTGAAGTGGAGAGCCACAGAGGAGGTTGCGGGTTCCTTATGGAGCTCCCTGCTGGCTGGACATACAGTGAGGCTTAAGTCTGCTTAGAGTTCAAGTTCAATAGCCAAGATGCAAGGCTGAGTTGTTAGGATGTCTGGCTGAAGGTATCTGCAGTCTTTGAAGGATCTAAATGACCTTAAATCTGATTCAGCTTATTCCCTTACACCCCACAGGATGAGTCACTGAGACTGAATTATATACTGTATATATATATATATATATATATCATTTTTTTAAAAATAAAGAACACAGATGTTCACAAGGCTGCATGAGTGAAAAATACAGTAAAAATAAAATTTAAAATGGCCATTTCTATTTTAATATATTTTAAAATGTAATTTATTCCTGTGATGTCAAAAGCTGAATTGTCAGCACCCATTACTTCGGTCTTCAGTGTCACATGATCCTTCAGAAATCAGTCTGTTTGGCGGTCAAAAAAATGCATTTACATTTCTTAATTTATTCTAAAGACAGTTGTGTTGCCTCATATTTCCTTAAAAAGTCTGGGATACTTTTAACTTGAAGTTTAGTTTAGTTTAACGGTCCAGAAGAAACTCTGCAAATGACTGAAAAACATTCCGTCAAATTCTTCCATTTTGTAATAACACTGCCAGTGTTTATTCTTGTTTTACCCTGTTGTCTGTCTCTGTGTATTTTTGCTTGCACTTATGTATAGAATCTACATTTATTTTTCCACACAGGCTAAACACCCTCTGGCTCAGCCTGCTACAGCAGCCAAGGTCCAAACTGATTTCAGTCAGACTGAAGCAATAATTCGTTTTTTTAATATTGAATAAATTTAAAACTAAAATAGCCCACAGCATTGTACTGTATGGTAACTTCAAAAGACGCATGGTGTGCATTGTGAATGAATTCTTCAAATATTCAATTACACTTGTGTCATATTTACTTAGACATTTAACTTTGCATGTAAATGTACTTATAGAGACTTGGGCCAATAAGTAACCACTCAGAATACTCTAGCAATCACTCAGAACATCTTATAAACACCCTGGCAACCATCAACATCATCTTAACATCATGGAGGTGTAACGAATAGTCCACTGAACGCGAGTTGTGATGAACCCAAGTGCAGCTTCAAGGTGAAATACCAAATACAAACAAAGACTTGACTTGAATAGACTTGGCATGAACAGACTTGAACAGACGTGACTTGGCATGAACAGGCATGATCAGACTTGACTTGACATGAACAGAAACAAACTCACCAACATCAGGTTACACAGTTCAATACTTGACCCAGGACAAAGGCAACATGAGGGCTATTTATATCACAAAAATACAGGTCGCGTGACAAGAACCAACCAATGAGAGACAAGTCACATGACTAATACAACCAATAGGCGCGTTTGACTTCATGCAGCACTGTGCAGATTGATCGTAATAGGCTTGTTCGAGATGAACTCCAGTTGTGGAGTGCTTTCCGTATTGTGCTGAACCAACGTCATTCATGGCAGACCACACGATTTTTGCCTTTATTGTAGCAGAAGAAGTGGATGCAATTGAAATCCCATGTTTTTGCATGAAAATCTTTATGGACAGCAAAAGGTGTTATTGAAATAGTCTTAAGTATCAATATCGGTAATACAGGAACTTGTCTAAGAAAAATACGCAACATGTTGTCCTTGTCATTGCAGAATCTGGCCAATGAGAATAAAGTGTGATCATCAAGGCTTTCGCAGCCGATTTTGAACAACTGCAGCGCCTGACCTAGGCAGCTGGTCTCATTTTACTCTCACGGTACTTTGACGGCACATGTGATCAAATTTTCTAACCAGAATGCATTGCTTTTGTCAGGCGGCAGCTGATCTTTATGGCACTGCATGAAGTCGAACAAGCCTAATCTGACTTGAAGCATTGCAAGCCGGTTAGAAATTTTGTCCGACTTGAGACGGTGCCAACGCCACGTCACTGTCACATGTGGCATCAAAGTACCGCGAGAGTGTTTTGAGAGCAGCCGGCTGACTCACCCTGCGTTCCATTCGGAAGGGCTCATTCCTATGCCCTAATCCCTTCAAAGGGTTTACCCTCCGGAGTGAGAGCTTCGAAGGGTTGAAGGGTGTAGGAGACCAAACAACTGTTTCTTGAAGTGCCCTTCTGCGTCATCTTCACGTGCCCACACGGAGGCACCGTCATCATGCAAAGAATCTGCGCAAAGGATCATGGGAGCCCGAAGTGTCCATCAGTTGTACCCTTCGAAATCCTTCATTCCAAAGGGCCCTTTGAAGTGGCCAGTTTTGAGCACTTTGGTTTGGAACGACCCTTCAATATGGCGGCCATGATTGTTTTCACTCCGAAGTGCCCTTCGGAGGGCGATATATCCCATTTGGAACGCACCGTCAGCCGCCACAGTTTCTCCAGAGCAGCTGCATGAGCGCTGATGACGACACAGCTGCTTCACGATTGGCCAGATTCCCCAGCATTACAACAATTACGAGTTTTTCGGGTTTATTCTAAATTTTTCAATTCCAATAGGCCTAATGGTCACAAAAAATGTTTTTTTTTACTGTAGTCGAAATGTCATATTGAGTCACGTTTATCATAAAACACTGATGAAAGCAAATATACACCCACTTTATTAGTATTTAAATTGTACATATTTACATTGAACTTTATTCTTGAACAGATGGCGATGTATTAAGCAGTATATAATCAGTATATCTGTTGCTCATGAAAACGTTTCTGAAACGTCTGTGTATTTGACAAATATGGCATTTAATTAACTTCATCTGTGATAGAGTATGCAAACACCGTGCAAGCGTCACTAACGAGAGCAAAAATTGTCCGGCTTGACAGCTCTGTTTTCAACTCCACCCCCGACTGCAAACTGCTACTCTCGTTGACTGCCATCTGTAGCCATGGTTCAAGTCGAACGCACCTAATAAGAACATGACACATGAACCAAAGAACCAATAGCAGGATAACAAGAGGGCAAGGAAATCACATGACTAGACAGGAACCATGACAAAACTCCAAAATAAAAGAAATGAAAACATGAACATGAAACAAAACCCAGAAACCCACGTTACAGGAGGCCTGTTCTGAAAGGTCAAAAACAGCTTTTTTTTCAGAAAATGTCTCATCTTACACTTAGTTCTGTGCAGATCCATGGCATATAATATAATAATAAAATAAAAAGTCAGAAAAAAAAACATTCAGTGTAGAAGTACAGCAAAGAAAATGAAGCAAACCAAACATGAGTAGGCTCCCTCATAACCAGCAATACACATATTCACACAGAATTTTGCTTCAGCAGGCCACTTCCGTCCAAATCATTAAAAATCCAGAGTACTGAGATGGACATTTTAAAATGTCACCACTCATAATAATAAGTATTTTAGAATTGTTGCCACAGTCACTGTTGCTATTCTGCCTAGACCAATTTATCTACAATCCATTCTAAAACTCGGACAAGCAAAAGATGAACAAAAAACAAGGGCTATTTTATACAACAGAACACCAAATAAATCGTCTTACTTGTTCATCCATCATATAAAAGAGGCGGACTGCTACTCCACTAGCCTTGTCTGCAGACAAAGTGTAATGTGTCAACACATTGTGCCCGATTTCATTACTTCATAGGCAAGTGTTGCATACGCAGTGTTACTGTGTCCTATTAATTAGGCCAAACTTGCTACGGTGAATGAAGTGAGATTTCGTGTGCACATGGTTGTTGTGTGACTGAATACAGCATGACCACAAATATACAACCCAGGTTAATTGGAAATAAGTGACTGCCTACATTTCTGCATAACTGCAAAAATTTACAGATTAATTCAATTCGCTGCATTTTCCAGGTGAAATGAACATTAGAGGCAGTAAAACACCAAAAACTTTTGTTCCTTTTCACACAAATTAAGATTACAGAAGCAAAATATTGATTAATAAAGACTTTTGCACAGTTCCTTGCACCATACTATGTTACGATTTGTTTATAAACAAATACATTTTAATGTTTGCATCACATAATCAGCTCCTTATCTGTCTTTTTTGACATTGTAAAATTGCTCAGTAGCTCACCTGGTATAGCGTTGCACTTCCATGTGGAGCACTTGGGTACAAGTCCCTGAAACATGAGTCACGAGTCATCTACGAGCTCAAAGCCTTGTAGATGGAAGATAAAATGGCATGTGTTTTTATCTCACATTTGCTTTTTCTCACAATATCAATATGGTTTAGGGTAAAGTTTAGTGTATAGGTGGTACGTTCCTTTCAACGTGATAGAGCATTATTCTTTTAGTGGCACTCACCAGAAATGTAAACTGGCGTGATACGTACAATCAAACGAATGTAATAAAACATTGCTGCAGTCATGTTTAACTGTTTCAAAGAAAATTTAAATACTATATACGGACAGATACAGGACATTTCGCTTCGAAATTGCTACATGCAGCATAATATCACTTTGCAACCATTTTGTACTCATAGGCCTGTTCTCTTCATGACAAGTGTGATGTATCATTTGAAAAGTGCAGTGAAATGTATCAGGAGCAACATATTTCAGGTTCTGCAGAAATGTAGCTACAGTAACATTCCCAATGAGCCTGGACTGCAACTGTGCACACACCTGAGTGGAGCATTTGACTGCATCATGTCCGTCCTTCCTCCCTTCCTTTAAACGATGTGGAGCAAGAGTCTTGAAG